CCAAAGGCGCCACTGAGGTGCTGGGACTCACAGGCTGCTGCGGCCCCTGGCCCAGTCAGCCCAGTGCTGCCCCTTCGGACTGTGCCTCGGGCTCCTGTTCAAATGCTGCTGCGCATCTGGAGTCTCCCCCTGTGCCATCTGCTGCCCGGACCTGCAGATGGGCACAAAGTTTGGAAACGGAACGTTAAAGGTATTTTTAACTGGCGTTAAAAATGTTTTGCCTCCATTTATAGACACACTCCAAACTGTAACCGTCTCCCAAGTCTGCAAATCTGGTCATAACGTAATTTTAAAAGAACACTGGCAAGGTTGTTACTACAAGAACTCTTTTTTTATTTTGCTGTGCAAGAGACTGTTATAAACTTTTCTTTTTATTTCCTTGTTTGAAGATACTAGTGGCAACACCCGGGCAAAGCAACTTAGGAACACAAGGGGAAGAGAATGATGATTCAAGCAATTTCTGCATTGAAAAATGCAGACAAATCATGAAGCTGTACTCAGCGTGATGTACGAGCGAGGGTCGGGTGAAGGCTATGCAACTGTCGTAACCACACGTAGCTCTCCAGGATGAGGACCTGGAGGATGAGGAGATGACCCGCCGCCGGTCTCCCATCTCTCCACGACCATGATTCCACACCCCGGCACTGAAGGTGTTGTTTCCCCTCCCGAGGTTCGCGGTCCTGCTGCCTCCTTGCAGTGGCTCCGTTGCTCGTCCGGCTGTTGCTCCGGCCAAGGCGGCGGGAGGAACCGAGCGGAGGGGCCGCAAACCAGCAGTGCCAGTGGGTTAAACTGGCTATGACGCCACATCCCAACGCACGGCGATGGCAGCTGCCAGCACACATTGACCCCAGTGATGTCTGCTAGGAGCAGTGCAAATTAAAAAAAATAATTTAAAAACCCCTTCCTGTCATGACTGCCGTCAAAACGTGGCGGCTAACCAGGTACCTTTAGGGAGGCTCATGGAGTTAAGAGGTAAAAGTTTCCTTATTCGCCATCGTGCTAGTGATTCAAGCTTTATTTTAAATTACAGAAAATACTCTGATAGTGTCTCTTTAAAGTTCCAGCTGGAAACGCCAGGATTTGGAACTGTTCTGTAACAGTGAATTTTAAACAGCATAATTACATTTTGTAGTTGCACCTGCACAGTCCTGATTCTCCCCGAGATGCGGCCCCTCCTTAGACCGATCCGACACGTGGCAGACAGCGGCGTAAGGGATCTGCCATGTTGGTGTGGGCAAGGCTACCAACGTCCCCTCACTGGCGAGGTGTGCAATGGCGGGAAGGGCTGAGGAGAAGACAGAAGACAGAAAGGTGTGAAAAGCCGTAGGGCGCTTGTTAAGAGTTTTGTGTCTGTCAGCAAAACGTTGGGTTTGCAGATACGGACGTAGCGGGCTTAGCGCTCTGACTAGGTGCGGCCTTTTTGCTTCCGCAGAGCTCCGTATTCTCCGAAAGATGAAATACAGGCCCAGGAGTTTGCGAATCAGAGCCTAACATTGCAAAGCCAGCGACCTTCTGTTAACCAATATATTAAGATACTCTTTTTACCATGGCCAAAAAAGTACGTGTGGGGTGTACGTGTGTGTGTGCTTGAGCCGCTGCTGCTGGTTTAGTTGATGTCACAGCAACCCTTCAGTTATCTATGCATTTTCTTATAATGCCTAGCGGTTCTGTAGGCAGGCAGCCGCGTTCACTATGCCTTGTATGTCTGATGCCATATTTTAAATTAACCTGTTAAATACAGCTTAAAATATTTTTATTTTATTTATTGTATTTTTACTGAATTATCCTGCATTATTATGTTGATGTATTGTCTCTACTGAACACGCTCTTGTAACATTCTCCACCCTCTACACTATAGGTTGCCTAAGAAAAGGCGGGCTTTGTAATTATTTGTAGTCACATTTTTATTGAATTCGGTAGAAAAATCATGTAAAGCAAAGCTAATTTCTTAATTTTTTTTCAATGCAAGTAGTAAGTTAGAGGTAAGTACCACGTGTCAGTCGTGCCATTAGCGTGCCCCCTCGCAGAAGCGAGGAGATTTATATCCCCAGTCAGCAACTAACGGACAGAAGCCTTCCTTCAAACTGCGCAGTGCTGGCCGGAGGCGTTAGGTCAGCCACTCGCCATTTCATCTGAAGGGGAGCACGGGGCCGTGGGAGACAGGCGGCGACGGGGGCCACCCCAGGGGGGCTCAACCGGAGCAGCAAAAATTGCGTGGAGGGGCCCCGAATCCATTCACAGTAAAATGAGTTCTTACTCATACACTGCACCTGTAGAGTGGGAGTCACCTGGGCCTGCAGAGATCACCGGCCCTCTCTGGACAGAGGAGGAAGAGCTGGGGAGTACCTGACGGCCTTCGCCCGCTCTGTGTCACCAGGAGTTCGACATCCCTTTGCTTTCAGTTTTATCAAACATTTGACAGATCGATTAACTAGGGATCTAAAACTGTTAGTAAATCACCCACGGAAAAGAGAAGTTTCTGACTTCAGCAGCCCTTACGGCATTGGCATTAACCCCATTGCTCCTCTCGGGCAGGTTACTTAATACCTTGCTAAAGCTTGTGCTGTACAGGCAGCAACAGCAGGTCTGGTTTATTTTCACAGCAGTAAGGCAGAAGGAAACACACCCACTCCTGTTTATCAGCAGAGCTCAGCCTCGCGTAACGCACCCCATCCACACCAAAAAGGACAATTTTCCCTGCTGTTGACCACTTCTCCACATTTAAATGTAATCTGTTCTGATAATAAATTTGGCTGCATAAAATGATTGTCTCAACTGTTACTGGTCCGTCAAACTGGGAAATTACTTCTTTTCTTGTTCCAAGGTGTGGTTGAGGGGTGGGAAAAACATACCGGTTGGTGAGAGGCAACAGCAGTACAGTGGGCACTTCGCTGTCTGGAAAGCTGAATCAAGAGCTCCTAGGGGAAAACTACAAATACGAAACTGGATGACAGAAAATTAGTTACGTGTGATAGAGTTTTACTGTAAGAAGTCATCGAGCGTTTAACTGAGCAGACAGGCTTCCACCGACACACCTTCTGAAGGCAGCCCCAGGTGTTGCACCGTGGGACGTTCGGTGCTTCCAAAGCCAGCTGCTGACTGGCAGAATCGGATTCTTCCCTGCCAGCGCTTGGGCATTACTGGCAAGAGTGATTCAAGACGCGGGCTGGTTTAGCTTCCCTAGCACTTCAGTCTCCAACTCCTGGAAGCAAGATGCGGCCAATGCTGGGGCACCACAACGCGTGTCGCGTAAGTAGCCCAGAACTTCTGTCATCAGACACAGGTATGTTCATTTAGAAGTAATTTTAATTGCATTTAATAAATGAATGATACAGATTTTGATTTTAAAAAAATAGAGTTCTCTAACTGCAGAATCTCTTATTTTAAGCATTTAACAACCATATTGAAAAAAACACAAGTCTCCTTTGCTGTCCATTCCCTTTATCTAACATAGAATGTCTCCTCCTCCTAGATGGTTTTGAAATAAAATGGGGATTTTTACTTTTTCTGAGTTCCGTACATGGCAGGTGCACAGGTCTGGCTCTACCCTTACAGGCCTGTTCAGAAACCAGAGCGGAGGGTGTCATTCCCTTCGCTGCAGCAGGTGAGGAGCAGGGTTGCCCACCGGCACACGCAGCAGGCGAGCGATGCCTCCGAGCAGGACAGCTGCCCGAGCCTGGAAGGCTGAGAGAACCTGTCAGTGATGAATTGAAGTGGGGATCGTGGTGTGATGGACGAGAGCCAGCTGTCCACGCTGCTGGGGGAGCCACCGTCCCCTCCGCTCTTC